TGTGGGTGGGTGGGATATGGGGGAAGGGCCCCGCTTTGGTATGGGGGAGGGGCGTCTAGTTTTCAGTTAAATTCTCCTGTTGCCTCTTGAACCTAACGATGGGGCGGGGCCGGAGCTGCGCTGCTGAGTCACATGGTGCGGATTTGAGCGGTTGGGTTGCGGTGGCTGAGGGTTATGGGCGGCGCTAGACGGGAGCCACGCCCACATGGCTGCCCAGCTGTCTGGGGCCATGGCACTGTCCTGTGTGGTGTTCACAACGCACTGGTTGCTCTGCAGATGGGCAGCTCTTCAACGAGGTGATGTGGAGCCTGCAGGAGCTGAGAGAGACCTTCACAACCCTCATGGCCCGATTCCAGAGAGAGGGTGAGGGGGAAGGTGCCCCTCACTCCCGAGCCGCAGCCCCCTGCTAGCCCCAGCTCTGCCGGTGCTCCTCACTCCCGACCTGCAGCTCTGTTCCCCAGGGCATGGGGGGGGGGGAAATAAGCCCCATTTCTCACCCTTCTTCTTCCTTCTTGTTTTGCAGTTTTTTGCCCGAATAAGTGTGGTGAGTGGGAGCCAGAGGGGATGGGGGGGGGAGGGACAGATCCTGGGGGAGGGGTGGGGGGGTTCCAGGGACCCTGTCTCTGATTCCCTGGGGGGTCAGGGATGCCCGTGCTGGGAAGGTCCTATCCTTGACTGCACTCCAGGCTAGGGCGCCCTGACCTCCTAATGCTAACCCCCCACAGCCGCTCAGGGCCTCCCCTAACCCCCAGTGATCTCCCCCCCCGCCAGCCCCAGAACGCCTGGGTCCAATTCCCCCAGCAAGTCAGGTTCTGACTCCCGGGACACCGGCACCAACCTTACCCCGGGGGGCCTTCACCCCACCCTAGCTACTCGGGCCAGACTCCCCGGGCCCTGACCTCCCCCCCGGGCTCTGACCCCCCCCCCCCACAGGGCGCATGGTTCACCAGTTCATCGACTGCCGGGCCTGCGGCACCGAGCTCTACTCCTGCAACCGGGACCTGCACTGTGGGGGTGAGTGGGGGGTGCTTGGGGAGGGATGGAGGGGTCAGATGATGGGGGTGGGGGTTGGCTGTGAAGGGATGGGAGGGTCTAGAGACCTCCAGCCTGTGTTGGGGTTTCACTCCCAGGCTCCAGGGCCTGGCTTCTCCAGCAGGGACAGGAAGGAAAATTCCCCCCATCCACACCATGGCCAGGTGCATTGTGGGTAACAAGGGGGTCTTCTATATCTAACTCTGGCCACTGTCAGAAACTGGACTGGATGGGCCCATTGACCGGGGGCGGGGTGGGTACTGGGATGGATGGGCCCACTCTGATGCAGGGGGCAGGCTGGTGTGGATAGGCCCATTGCTCTGATCTGAGGGGGGTTACCGGGGTGGATGGGCCCATTGCTGTGATCCAGGGCACACTGCTGGGGTTGGGGGGGTTACTGGAGTGGGTGAGCCCGGGGTGGGGGGGGGTTATGGGCTCTGATATCTGGGTCTCTAGCAGAGCGGAGGCTGCGGGTCCAGCAGGACGATGACCTGATCCTGGACTGTGCCTTGACCTGGCACCGTGCCAGCTACGGTGCCAAAAGCTACCGCTTCTACCGGGTATGGCGCCCCTCACTCCCGACCCGCAGCCCCTACCAGCCCAGCCCTGCCGGTGCATCTCACTCCCGACCCGCAGCCCTTACCAGCCCAGCCCTGCTGGCGCCCCTCACTCCCGACCCGCAGCCCCTACCAGCCCAGCCCTGCCGGTGCATCTCACTCCCGACCCGCAGCCCTTACCAGCCCAGCCCTGCCGGCGCCCCTCACTCCCGACCCGCAGCCTCCGTGATCCCCGTGTCTCTCCCGCAGGCGGTGGGGGGCTCGGAGCAGGTCATGGTCATGGGCCCCGACGCCTTCCTCGTGAAGAAGGAGGCGACAGCGAACGACTCGGGGCGCTATCGCTGTGAGATGCTGAATGCCCAGGGCTGGGTCTGCTCTGAGCTGCGCTTCCAGGTGACAGGTGAGGTGGACAGAACCCAGGGGTCCTGGCTCCCAGCCGTGCCCCTCCCCACTTCTCTAACCACTAGCCCCCACTCCCCTCCCAGAGCCAGGAGAGAACCCAGGGGTCCTGGCTCCCAGCCCTGCCTCCCTCTAACACCTGTCCCCTCCCCCTTGCAGTGACCCCCCTGCTGGGGAATAGCACCCCACCACCTGCGCCGCCCCTGCTGGGGCCCCTGACGCTGCCCTCCCCATCACGGAGCCCGACCCCCCCGGGGGGCCCTGGAGACTGGACCGTCTGGGTCATCATCGGGAGTAGCGCCGGCCTGGTCCTACTGCTCATCGGGGGCTGGTGAGTCCGGATGCTGGGGTCCCCCCACCCTT